ATACAATATAGACTATTACACAAAGAAAATATAAATGTGAGTTATGTCCTTTTTTACAAAATACTTTTTTTTTTAATGTTTTTATTGATTTCAGAGAGAGGAAGGGAGAGGGAGAGAGAGAGAAACATCAAGGATGAGTCATTGATCGGCTGCCTCCCACATGCCCCCCACTGGGGATCGAGCCCGCAACCCGGGCATGTGTCCTGACTGGGAATCGAACCATGACCTCCTGGATCCTAGGTCGATGCTCAACCACTGAGCAACACAGGCCAGGCTACTCTTTAATCTTGATGATTTCATTCAGAAGAGAGCTAAGGAATAGGATTCCCTTTCAACGTGATTTTCTCTCTTATAGGGAATCAGTTTTGGAAAACAATAAACTTTCTAGCAGAAAATGTTGCGATTAAGAGCAGCAATTCACCGTCATGTTATCAAAACTCTCAAATTTGTGCCCTGGCCCATGTGGCTCGGTTGGCTAAGGGTCATGCCATGCACCGAGAGGTTGCTGGTTCGATTACCAGTCGGGCACATGCCCAGGTTGTGGGCTCTGTCCCCCTGGGAGGCGTGCAGGAGGCATCCTATCCATGTTTCCCTCTCTCCGTCTCCCTTCCTTTCTCTCCCTAAAATCAATAAAAATGTATTTTTTTTAAAAACTTTCAAATTTGTGTATATGTTTGAACACTCCTGGAAATTATTTTCTAAAATATTCTGTTCTGCTTTAAGAAGAGTTCATGAGGATTAATAAGCCTTTTAGATACATCAGTCCTGAAGCGAACACTGTAGTGTGGCTCGCAGCACTGTCCAATATAACCTCTTGCAGCAGTGGATATCTGCTTAGTTTTCCTTGAATTTTGATCAAACAAAACAAACATACACACACACCCCGAAAAAACAATGTTTCCTAAGAATCCAGAGGACCTTTTTCTGTATCTGTCAGTCTGCTGCTAAGGTGAAGTGTGTATGTGTCATAAAAAATTACATTTTAGTGTCTTTGTGAGTTTTATTGTCCTCACGGTTTAAACAGCATGTGATCAAAATCACATTATGTAGTAAAGAGTGTGTGGGTAGATGGATAGTTAGGTGGGTGTAAATCCCAATAAAATCCATTTTAGAAGATAAGTGATTCCTATTGAAGTTTGGGCAAATCAATTCCCCTAATTTACTTTATTTGTCTAATGCCTCTAGGAGCCCTTATAGGGCTTGTTACCTAACTTTATTAGGGTAGGTTTGAATTAAGATGAATAGTCAAAAAAGAAGGATTCTTTTTACCATGGAGTTAGCTGCTTATACTGCAAACTAAGAAATTAATGAACAAGAATACTGGTCGCAAACACCAAGGTTTATTTAAAAGCCAATATGGGTATGGTATGGTAATGAGGGCTGAGTTCTCCAAGGACTGCAAACCTATTTATTGAACATAAAATTTTACTGACTTTGAAATCTCCCCAGAAATGTTCATTTACCTCATCATGTATTATGTATTTCAGATCTTTAGCAACAATAACAAAATTCAGATTGGTAATGAAGTGGTTATGCAATGAAACTAATATACACTGTGATTTGATACAGGAGACTTGGGTTTCACTAGTATATTCACTTAACACTGGAAGCAATATAGGAAATACAGATCTTTAAACATTGTAAGTAATAACCACATGCTTTAAAGAGAAAATCCACTTACTTTTCAAGTATAATCCTAATTACTATGCCATTGGGGGGGTGACTGTCCTAAAAATGAATTGTAATTGGCCATTTGAAAATTGTATATAGATTTATAATTTTTAAATGGCTGGTGGCGTGTAACCATAATGTATTTTTTCAGTTTTATGGTCATTATTAAATTTCCAGAGGGAAAGAAAATAAATGACCTCCTAGTGAAGGATATTTTACCATGAGACCAGTTGTAAAAAATTATATAGTATTGTGCCTGAGAATATATCTTGCCTAAGTTCCAGTTCTCTAGTAGCTTTAATTTACTGAGGTTGAAAAATACGCAAGGTGAAATGAGGTCTCCAAATATTTCATACCACACATATTTTATCCAAAGGAAGATACTGGTCTACTTGAATCATTTAATCAGTATTACTAGATTTGGGGAGGTTTTTTTAAATGTTTGGTTGATAGCAAGAGAGTATTTGTTTAAAATGCAGTCAAAGTGTATTGTTACTTAGCATTTTTCAAGGTGGAAGGGTGTTGGCAATGAAGGTTATACTTAGCCATACAATGGGCAACTTGAATCAACTCAAAAAGCAATAGATTTATAGATACTGTATAGGATGGTGGCTGGAAGAAAAATACTTACTAGGTAAATATTCACTGAATTAATTGCACGGGCAGTGTTCCTGCCAATGCTGTAATTAATGCATATCTAGTCTTGCGTCTAGCTCCAGAATCCATGACATCAACATAACTAACAAAAACATGTCAAGAATTGAGCCTTCTAGTGTGTTGTTAGCTTTCTTGACTGACCAGATCCTACTGTGTTCCTCTAATCACATTTCACCAGTCCAGCTGCCAGGCAAGAACTGTTCTTACTGTTGTTATTATAAGAAACATTCAAACCTGTGAATTTTTTATGAGTTTATTTGAGCTGAACTGTGGACATATGCCGGGGAGCAAAAATCTCAATGGATTGAAATAATGCTCCGGAAATAGCAGTTTTGCACCTTGCTTTGTAGATTACAATCAAAGAGGGGGACTTAAGTGGGTTACAGGATATCCATTGTTGATAGATCAGGGACACGGGAGAGGGCAAAGTGGGGAATCCTCTTTGATTGGATAAAAAGTAAAATGGTAGACACATGCTTCTTTTACGTAGGCGGGTACAGGATAGTTAACAGTCAGCAGTTAACAAGATATCAATAAGAATGAGAGGATTCCTGGTCTCTGTCCTGGTGCACTGAGGGCCCAGAAAAAGGGGAAATTACTTTGTTTGGCAAAGACCTGTGTTAATCAGGTGTGTATCTCAGATGCAAAAGACAATCAACTGGCTTAGTTAAGGTGAAAATTAACATTTGTTAGGAGAAAATACCATCTCAGAACATGGCTACTAACCATAAACTTCTTATGTTTAAAAATTTTTAATTTCAGGCCATCCTTTGTGGTAAGTTTAGGTCTCTGAGTTTGCACGGCCGCCAAGCAGATCTGCCCTGAGCTTTTCAGGTTTAGCATGTGGCCCCTAGAAATGCAACATTGGTGAGAACATAAGTACTCTGAAGAGAGTTCTGCTTTAATTTCTCTCTTCCCTGTTCTATTAGCAAATGATTGATTGCTTCATGCAATTGTTCAATTAACACATGCTAGACCAAATAAGAGAAAACGGTAAGGGTACACAAAGTTATAAAATTCATTTGTGGCTGAATGGGTGTGGTGGTGGTGTGTGGGTGTGTGTTTTCAAGCTTTTGGGGAAAGGCACAGGAAGAAGATACAAGTTGAACAGGAATAGTTAAAATAAAGCAAAAAAAAAACACCAAAACAATAATTGGCAGGGTCTGTTGGAGTAGCACAGATAATAAATGCTACAGAGTTTATTAGGAAGGCTAATTATTTCCATCTGAGGGATCAGGCAATTTTCTTTGAGGAAGTGGCACTTGCATTACCCAAAACATGAAGCATAGGGAAGGGTTTTTTATGTGTTAATTAAGAAATGAGGTCTTTTATTCAGGGAAATGAAGACATTTCAATGGCAAAGTACAATGACAGGGAAACAGAAGGAAGAAAAGTCAAGGGTCACACCAGGAGCAATGGGGTCACTGTTTTGACCAAAATGCAGTTTTGTTATCAAAAAGATGTGAAGGGTGGTAGATAAAGTCAGATTGTGGAGAGCTTTTTTTTCTTTTTTTAAAGGCAGGCTAAAAAACTTGGAGACAATTGGGATTCAGTCATGATTTAAGCAAGAAAATAAAACAAGTGGCAATTTGGGAAGTTGAATTTAGGAGTTATAAGGACAATGGGACTCTATCATCCCACATACATTCAAAGTTATGAAGAAAATTATAGTAATATCCAATCAGTACCTAAAGGAATTAGAAGAAATGCTGTGAAAGGAAGCAGACTTGCTTTTGTACTCATATAAGTGTGTTTTCTCAGTCATATGGCTAACAGGAATGGGAGACAAAGTGGTCCAGTGGGTAAGAGCATGAGCTTGACATCTGGGGTTCAAATTCTAGCTCATTTACCATTATTGGCTGTGTGACCTTGGGCAAGTCACTTAGCCTCTGTGTTTCAGTTTTTCATATGTAAAATGGAGACAATAGTAGTACCTACATAATAGGGTTGTTATTAAATGTTGGTATGTAAAAACACTTAGAATAATGTTTGGCATATTATAAGTACTACACAAATATTCTGTTTCCATAGAAGAAGTGTACATGTGTGCCTGTATTTAAGATAGCCATTTTCATATTAAAAGTAGTTCATATTCATTGCAGAAAAATTAAAAGCACAACTAAAAAAAGATGGCCTATAACCCAGAAGTTGCAACTTTAAAACTTGTTCCATCAGACATTTTTCCATATTGCTAAATATACATCTAGATCACTTTTTAAATAGCTACAGGGTATTTCACTGAATGGATGTCCATCATGGTTAACCCATACCCTTTTGGTTAGTATATTTTGCATTTATAAATGAGGCCATGGCAAACGTTCTTGTAGTTGAATATATGGACACCTCAGTATTGCATTAACAAATTATTAAAAGTAGAAGTTCTGGACTAAACGTGAGACTATGTTTATATTGGGATATATTCTGTAAAACTCTACCCTACCCACTCCCAACCCCATCCCCATCCCCATCCCCGAGGATGTTATCATTTACTTGCTTATTAACAGCATATGAGAGGGCCCAGTTGCCTGAACTATTGCTATTGTATGTCTCCACTCTAGTGTAATACCGGACAGTTTTTAAAATATCTGCTGAGTAAGTGGGCGCAATATTACACCTCAGCATTTGCATTTCATGTCTATGGTTGCTAGTCAAGTTAGACAGTTTTAAAAGACTTAGAGGTCAGTGATAATTCTTCTTTCAGGAATTGTCCGGTTTCGGTCCTTCATTTCTTTCTCTTGAGTATTCACCTTTTTCCCGTTGATCTGTGAGAATGGTTTTATCCTAAGAATCTCTGTTAAATTATTTAAGGTGGATTATTTTATTTTTGGTTTTGAGTGTTCTTTTGCTTGTTTGATTTTTTTTAATGTAAGGAAGTTTTATATTGTTATGGATTTAAACCTATCACTGGGTGGTTTTTAAATCAAATTATACGTTTTAGATGAAAATTATAAGAATATTTACTCATCATTATTTTTATGGTTTTATATTTACATCTATAAGTTCATTCCCCTGATATGTAGCTCCGAATTACTTGAGATAGGAATTGTAAAATTGAGTAAAATGTTTTTCATTGTTGACAGTATTGCAGATGTCCCCCATTTCCCTACCTTTGCCCCCCTCTGCCCAGCACCTCCTCCTCCCCAGGACTTCTCCACTTTATTGTCTGTGTTCATGGGCTATGCATGTAAGTATATAAATTCTTTGGTTTATCTCTTCTGGTCCCCCTCCCCACTCTGAGATCTGTCAGTCTGCTCCATGTATCCATGCCTCTGTTTCTATTTTGTTCATCAGTTTATTTTGTTCATTAGATACCACAAAGAAGTGGGATCATGTGATATTTGTCTTTCTCTGCCTGGCGTATTTCACTTAGCATAATACTCTCCAGGTCCCTCCATGCTGTCCCAAAGGGTAAGAGATTCTTTTTTTACAGCTGCATAGTATTCCATGGTGTGAATGTGCCACAGCTTTTTACCCACTCACCTACTGATGGGCACTTGGACTGTTTCCAGGTCTTAGCTATTGCAAATAGCGCTGCTATGAACGTAGGGGTGCACATATCCTTTCTGAGTGGTGTTTCAGGATTTTTAAGATATATTCCTGGAATTGGGATCAAGGGGTCAAACGGCAGGTCCATTTTTAATTTTTTTGAGGAACCTCCATACCGTTTTCCATAGTGGCTGCACTAGTCTGCATTCCCACCAGCAGTGTACTAGGCACATGATCTTATATTTGGAATCTAATAAACACAATAAACTGATGAACAAAATAGATCCAGAGACATGTAAGCATGGAACAGACTGACGTCTCCGAGGAAAGGTGGTGGTGGGGGAGCCGGAAGAGATTAACCAAAGAACATATATGCATATGTGCACAACCCATGACACAGACAATGGTGACATAGGCCCAGGGGGGTCAATGAGAAAAAAAAAAAAA